AAAACCACAAAAATCTTGAGTCCGGACGGGCTTAGCGAGAAAAACCAGACTTTTATGAATATATATATATATAATTTTGAGCCCACTATTTTTAAGGCTTTTGACGTAATCGACATGCCTATGTATCTGTTCTCTCTTTTCCATTTTCTGTTAAAGTATTTATTATTTCACGTATATATTTTCTAATTAGGAACAGGTTTAGGAATAAATTCTAAAACACATACCTAAATAAATGATTAGGAATATAAGAAATCCCATGACATATCTTATGCACCATGTTCGGAGATTGAATTTCATAGATTCGTAAAATAAAAAATTATAATTATTGTTTTTAAAATTTAACTCACATTTATTTAATTTTATGGTCATATAACCTAAAAACCGAGATACTTATTCAATGTTGATATTGTAAACTATATATGAAAAGATTAAATGTAAAACATGAAAGGCAAGTTTGTGAACAAAATAATAATGGATGAAAATTTGAAATTTACTATTTTGACTCTCTTTTCTATTATAATTTTTGAATGTGAAAAATTAGTGAATTTAATTCATCTATTTATATTATGTATATTATGTATATTGACCATTTTAATTTTTAAAGATTGAGCAAGTTTTAAGATTTTTCAATATAAGTGTGCAACACACTTCGCATATTTTTACAGTGTTTGCTAATTTAAAACGTAATAACAATCATCCATTGGAATTCTAATTTTAATTTTTCTGGAATCGTACTTTTATAATTAGACCGCACAACAGCTTGGTTTTTGGAAGGTCATTACACCTTCAGCAAGCTTTTTTGCAATCTAATTAAAATTGTTATAGATTATTGTTATGTAAAACTGGGAAAAACAAAGTGACTCGTTTATAATGCTATTATTATATCGTTGAAAATTTTGGATACAAATCGTAAACCTAATCTTATTTTTCAACTAAAAAAAAAGAAAAAAAAATGGAATCGTTAACATTATTTTTAATTAAATTCTACTTTTTGGTAGGAGGAAGTGCACCAACAGTTTTTGAACACTGTTCCTTTAGCATAGGAGGAAAAAATGGATTGAATGGAAGTTGTGGAATGCAATTGGTTTCAGCTTCCAAAATTGCTTTGCAACAAGCAGGGCCTATGTTTCCGAACTTTCCAATGAGTATAGATTGCGAAAACTCTGCGATACACCCTGGAATATTCATAAAAGATGTCAAACATTTTGTTATATCATGTAATCCTGGTACACCGGGACTCGGTAGGAATGGAAATGGAAAAGGAAACGGTGCCGGAAATTGTGGTAATTGAGCATTTGCAGACAGTGCAATGCATAAAACCGCTAAGAGAAAAATCACGTTTTTGAAAGCCATGATGAAAGAAAAAAAGATGTTTGAAATATTCCAATATATGATTCTTTATCGTGTTTGTTGAGTGATGAACAATACTAAGATCAGTTGTTATTTATAGGGGAAGAAATGAGCTATGGTGGTACTAATTGTATTTGTCTCCATAAAACGTCTTTCAAATTTTTATTAGATAATCAATAAGCTTGCAGTTTCTTATTTTCTTATTGAATGAGAAGTTACTAAAATTAAAAGAGAGTCCACAGCCACCTTGATGAGACGATTGCCATTAATAGGAAAATATTAACTACTTAGACTATTGGTGAGAGGACAAAGGAGATGATATATATAGTACGACACAATTAGAAAACCTGGTTTAGGTTTTCAACTCTATTAAAAACAATCTTAAAAAAATATGACACTTTATCTTTAATATTAAAAAAAAATCAAAATATTGTTAAAGTGTTTTCGAGCTGGCCCGAGTTCGACCGGGCTAATTAAACCACAATAATCTTGAGTCTGAACAGGCTTAGCGAGAAAAACCAGACTTTTATGAATATATATATATATATATATATATATATATAATTTTGAGCCCGCTATTTTTAGGGCTTTTGACGTAATCGACATGCCTATGTATATGTTCTCTCTTTTCCATTTTCTGTTAAAGTATTTATTATTTCACGTATATATTTTCTAATTAGGAACAGTTTTAGGAATAAATTCTAAAACACATACCTAAATAAATGATTAGGAATATAAGACATCCCACGACATATCTTATGCACCATGTTCGGAGATTGAATTTCATATATTCGTAAAATAAAAAATTACAATTATTGTTTTTAAAATTTAACTCACATTTATTTAATTTTATGGTCATATTACCTAAAAACCGAGATACTTATTCAATGTTGATATTCTATACTATATTTGGAAAGATTAAATGTAAAAAATGAAAGGCAAGTTTGTGAATAAAATAATAATGGATGAAAATTTGAAATTTACTATTTTGACTCTCTTTTCTATTATAATTTCTGTACGTGAAAAATTAGTGAATGTTATTCATCTATTTATATTATGTATATTATGTATAATTGACCAT